ATGAAGGTCTGCAAAGTTGCTCCATCTCAACATTTTATCTACATTTATTACACTTACCCACCCCCAACCCCCCTAATTGTTTTCTGTCCATTAAAGCAAACGTTTACAGCTGCCAAATGACATGAAAACGAACACAGGAGTTGACTGGGAGATGAGTAACTCACACTACTCAGCAGCAGCAAAAGGTATTTTTGACTGCGGGCAATTCCAGTGCTGCCTCAATAAATACATCCCCCCACGCTGATTACAAGGGCACAGGAGGCCTATAGAAGATGACTAGGCAGGGGCCATGATCTCAGTGGACGATCTCAAGGCCAAGTCTTAGAGAATCCTGTACAATGACATCCAAATACAGCTGCAGAGCAAAGACTGCACTAGTCTCAGTGCCAGGGAAGTCAAGGCAAATCCAGTAACCGAACAAAAGTTCCCTGTGCAATAACTCACAAGAGCCTGGTCTTTAAGCACAGCGATTTGTCTTCACCAAACCTCACAGTGGATAGTCTGAAGACTGAATGGGGCTATGGCTCATATGATCCTCAGAGCAAAAGGTGTTAAGACACATCAGTGCTAATTGCCCTTAGGACTTCTTTGGGGATGCAGGATGAAGCTTTCAAGCCCAGTAAAACAACCCTGGTACAACAGCTATCAGAGCTGCCTAGTATTTCCTGCTGCTTCGTGACAAGAGCGAGCAGACAGGACAAACCGGGGCAGAGCCTCTACCTGCAAGTCTGCTTTGGCTAGTGCAGGTGTAAACTTGCTACCCTTCATCATGCTTGCTCGCTGCTCTTTCACTTCTGGCCTTCCCTGCATCTGATATCTTCAAACATACATCTGCCTACAGGATATGCAATGGCATGCCCGTGGAGCGGCTGAACTAGCACATCCTAGGCCAGCTTCTTAGTTACACAGGTCTTAGCGGCTCTAAGGAGGATGGAGACGATGTTTTCAGGTTTTCTCCATGCTGCCAGTTCACCAGTCCTTAATCTGCTCCAGCCACCAGCTGCCAATACCATACCCTTGACAAAAATTCTTCTCTGACAGAAGTCTCAAAAAAGTTCTTTTCACAGACATACTGCCAACAGAGGTCAACTTGCAGCCTGACAGTTTGCTCCCTTGACTTCATCTCGATCTACTCCAGCCACTCCCAGCTCAATGTAATTTTTGCAAGTGCTTGTTACTTCCTCACTGAAGAAACACTGACACTCAAAGGGAGCTCAAGATGGAAGACAGTGGGAGATAAGGAATACAGGCCACACAAAGGGAGTCAGCTAATTATTTTCATTAGCACTGGCAAAACACAGCTGCAACAGAAACAAAGATGTCAAAAAGTGAAAACTACTGTAGTCATACACCATTTCAGGACAGCAAGAGAACCAGCTGCAGGGGAAGGTTTCAGCCAAATATGCTGAGGGATATTCAGCTGCTCCCATGCAGCACTTAACCCTGAACTGCCCAAATAGGCATGGAAGGTTTTGCTTATATACTGTAGTTTGGAGGCAGCTGGGCTATTTCTGCACCAGAACCGCTGGTTGATAGGTACTCTGAAAATATTAAGAACTCATACTAATTTGCTTTACTAAGGAGGGAAAAATACAATACTTGTAATTGGTGCTAAGCGGACAATAGTATGCGTACAAATACTGTGTTTTCAGCTTTTAGATGGCTGTGCAGGCACATATTGTTCGCTACTTTATTCCAGCAATTTCTCTGTGCAAAAACTCCTAGTACTGGAAATTGTGCCACCTGGCTTAATTCCCCTTTTGGAACTTAGTCATGTGAAGTGACAATATTGGAAGATTTTTATTTAAAAAACAAGCAAACCCCATACCATCTCACCTTGCTGATAAGTAACACACACTTTGCACCCAGAGGGAAAAAAAAAAAAAAGCAAGCTCCATTGCATGACAGTCTGCAGAACTAGCAAAAATCTGACCTGGGAGTTGAGTCACAAGACAGAAAGCTCATCTCTGTGCATCTTTTTTTCTTTCATCACATGCTTCAGGGGAAGTCAGCTGTAAAACCAGGAGTTTTGTTCCTGTAATGAGCTTTAACTTTGTGTGAGGATGTAAGCCATGTCAGAGTATGAGCAGAACTAGTCCCAGGTGCCAAGTAGAACAGCAATTATCCTACAACAGCATTTAACAGTTTAAACATTTACACATGCCTTGCAACTATGAAGTTGCTGTGAAGATGCTGCCAAAACCCTGTCCAGGAGCAGAAGACTAGGGCCTTCCAGATCAAATGTTCAGGAAGGAAGCAAAAGTACAAGCTCTAAGCTGTCTTCCACAAGTTCTTTTCATTCAGAAGCCTCACCAATATCCCTGATCTTTGATATCACAGTTTGCAGGCCCCTGTTAACCCTGCTTTACTACTGCCAAGGAGTCAAACTGCCTCTATCTGAGGCCATGCCTCTGTTCAGCAGTGACACATTCTTGATATAAGATGCAGATCTGTCAGCTGCTATCCCAGGGTAGATTTATGCTATATGCACAACCTGAACAGCAGCAGTGACCATAACATCTTTTGAAAGGTTCAACTCCTCCCCTTGTAAAACCAGGAACTCAACAACATAATGGAGCTTTTCCACACACTCAGAAGTGAAACCTTGATTTACAGTAAATCCTTGATTTCCTTACATGGTTCAGTATTTTGTTACTGAAAATCCAATCAATAAAATAACTCTATTCCCAGTATTGTTTTATTTTATTGAAACACTATACAGCTTACCAGCGCGGCGGCTGGGGGTAAAGGACATTATTACACCACCAGAGAAGTGGATTATGAGACACCACAAACCCTGAAAAAACAGACAGTGCCATTCGCACAGGCCTGAAGACAGTGCTTTACAGACAAAAAATACTCCTTATTAACTTATTTCACTACATTATCAAAGGGAAGGGCAAAAATATCCTGCAAACAGATTCAGAAACTATGGTAATTCATTAGGTTTATGCATCAAATCACATTTAATACAGAAACTACAAATACAAAGGAAAACATTGTCTAAAACATTTAATAACATGTCATAATCTGAGAACAACTTCAGGTTCAAACTACACATCAAAAATCCAGTTTCATTGTTATGGAATTAGCTGGCAAAGAGTATTGACAATGGTAAGTTTCAACCTGAAACACTCAGAAATAAGTAAGAACTCTACATTTAAAATACAGTTTTGCTGTATCTAGTCAAAAAGAAAAAGAATTACCATATACTTCTCTTCATAAAACTTTCTAGTAGGCTGATAGTAAGGTCTTTGCCATGTCCATTTCTAAGTTGATAAAGCAGGCTATTAATGAAGATATTTTCCCCCCGTCCTCAAGCAGCTCTGAGCAGCAAGCCACTACTTTATCCACAAGTTATCAGTTTTATCATGATTCCCACGTTTTCAGTGGAAGCTCTGCACTTTTCCATAGCTTCTGTTGACTTCTGAAAGATTTATATGTTGGGCTTTTTTTGCTGTTGTTGCTTAAGCCATGAACTGGACACAGACATTATCATCTGAGCCAATTACTTCTGTACTCATGAATAGACACAGCTGCTTTTTGTTGAGTAACACTGAAGTCCCCTTCCTAGACTAACCATACCTGATAAATCTCCTTGTGGAGATGCAGCTTGTGTCAGCAAACAGTGCTTTGCTTTTGCTGCAACAGTTTACATCAATTCCCAGACACACAAGGAGGAAAGCTATGCTCCTCGGACTGCTGCCAGCATAGAAAAGCTGTGCATGCACACTCACACACGATTCCACACTGTATTGGGATGGCCTCTGGAGAAGACCTGGTGGTCAAGCAGCCCATTTTTCACTCCTTCCCTCTCCCCTTCCCCTCAAATCCTGAAAAATCTCTCCTTTTTTTTCCAGTAATGCCTCTCCTAGCACACAGTCAATCACACAGGAACTATATGACACTTCTCAGAGCCCCAAAATACCATCACAGAGCAAAGCAAGGCCCCTCTGCTTCCCACTCTTTGACAGCGCTTTGTTTTTAAGGGAAAGATTACACCCCATTAGACACTGAATTTCCTTCCTATGCTTAGTCTCAAGGCCTGCTAGAGATACTACCAGCTTTGGATTAACTCCCTTTCTTTTTGCAATGAGCACCTTTGGTTTACTGTCTCCTGGACAGGTCATCCAGCAGGACAGACTGTTCACAGCAGAAGTTTTCACCGCATTGCTAACATCTACTATAAAAAGAAAAGTCTGGACCCTCAATGTGGGCAAAGTATCTGCAGCCAACTGAATTTAAGTGACCTCAGTCTTCCAGAAAAAGGTCCAAACCAGAGAAGGACCACCTTGTCTCATTTAATTTTTTTTTTCTCCATAATTTATACACAAAATCACCCAGGTTTGCACAACCGCTAGGAGAAACCCTAAAACATGGAGCATCGTCAAATCTGCAAATTTTGGCTCCAATAGTCACATAGTATAGATATAAACATTATGTTAACATTAGGCTCCCTATATATATAGTTTCGCTCTTTTCCACTAAAGGAAAACCCCAACACTCATCTGAGCAGCTGACTGCACTTACAGTAATGTTCACACGAATTTTACAAAGACAAACAAAAGCAGCTTCAAGGAGCAGCACCCCTTAGATATCAGGTGGATTCATGTACCAGGCCTTTCAGATGCTGGACCACCAAGAACAAGAAAAAAATTCAGAAGTTCTGGATTAAATGAAATTAAGCCCAGAACATGAGCAAGCTACTTAGTTTGAAAATTTGGTAAGGCTACCATTGCCACGATCCCTCAAGTAGAGACAGATATATAAGCACTGTAACATCATTCTTAACTTGGATGAAATTATTTTGTATCTTATGAGAAGCTGCTGTTTCAAAGTGGTGGATGTTCCAGCACCTGTGATACCCTAAACAAGAGTGAGAGTCCACATTTCCACATGGAAAGAGACGAATTCTTTGCCTAGTCTTTCACACCTCTTCATATCTACTTCTGAAGCCTATTACTAATAAAAAAAAGCACTAGTACACAGGAAGATTTAGTTCAATCACTCAGATGTAATAATGTTAAGGATTTCATCTTCTTTTTGTACTCCCAAAGCCTGCAAAGAAAAAAAAAATTGTCAGCTCCACCATAGCCTTTCCACTGGGCTCCCTGGTTCTAGAAAACCTAAAGGTAGCAAACGAGGCAAGTTAAACATAGTCACATAAAGTAGAACAGCAAGCAACTGTGGGCTGACTGCCCTGAAAAAACATTCTATTCTTGCATATTAGACAACCTGCTTTCTACAAAGAAATCATGTTTGTACATGTTCGCTAAAGAAGGGCACACGCAGTGCACACCAAAGGGGAAAGCCTTAAACTACCGCACCTTGCAGATGCAGACAAACCCAATACTGGTGGTAGCATGCCTGCCGTAGGACTGTGGGGAGTGTCATACCCCACAACGGTGCCCTGCTTCCACAGAAAACAGACATAAGGGACATCGTTACATGCCCACCTGCACCAATTAGTAAAATAAACCAAAGACTGCTTGCTGAACCTCAACTAACATCTGTGTATTTTTGATAAGTTCTCAACTTCAGGAGATTAAAAGGTCTTTTGCCTTACCAGAAGCAGTTCTTGTTCCTGAACTGCTACCTTGTGTGGAATTGCCTGACTGCCCATTCATTGGAGGTGCAGCTGTGGGATCTGTCCACATACTGTAATATGGGGAACGTGGCTGTGCTCTGATGAGAAACAGAGTAGAAGGAAGGCTTCGTTAGTGACCTTATGAAAAATTAAGAAGTTACCATTCCAAACAAGGGGACTGCATCTCTTGAGGGAAAACTGCAAACAGGCAATTGTTTCAAAGCTGGAAATTCCTCTATTTAATATAGTTAACGTGTTTAGAGCAAGGCTATCCAGTGTTGTCACAATAACACTTGTAGACTTTCAAAAGGAAATTAAACCTCATTCTTCAAGATAAGCAATTCTAACAATTCCAAGTGAGGAAGTTTTTCCCTCTGAAATTCTGACCTTAGATTCTTTCTACAAGAAAGTAGATCTGACACCTAAAGCTTTAATGCATTTTGGCAACACCTATGTCCCAGCTATGTAAGAGAGAAGATGACATTTCTCTGTTAATTAATTTGAAAAGGTTGTACCAGTAAGACTAACATATTGTGACCTCTGACTCACTGATTTAAATGTCTTGCTTCTACAGATATAGGATTTCCTGCTGTAGAAATTTACCAATAGCCATTTCCCACTTTCTGACACCACATTTTCAGTCACATCATTTCAAATGACTGAAAAAACCCAGAATAATAGTGGACCAGAGACTGTTTTAAAAGAAAAGAAACCGAAGTTAGGAAGCTTGTTCATTTATTTGGACTTAAATATTCAGTTAGGCCTCTGATCTCGAACAATAAGAGGCATCTACTGAAATGGGGGGTGTGTGTGAAAATCAAGGAACCAACCCATATGTAGATAATATATAAATACAATGCTTAAACACAAGGGTCATGTATCAAGCCACTAAAACGTTTAATACATTATACCTTTCAAGAATTCTTAGCAGGGTTAATAAAACAAAACACAATCATAGACTCAGAGTCATTTTGGTTGGAAAAGATCTTTAATCCAAGATATGACCTTTCAACCTCTAAAGCTCTACTCAAACTGAATTTATAGACAATTTCTACTGTTGATGGCATCACCATCTCAGTTTTATCGTACTTGACTATGAGATCAAGACAGCTCATTGAACACTTTGGCAATTTTCTTACATGCCAAGCTTCTACTTCCTTAACAAACAGGCAAACCTGATAAGGCTTTTGTCATTGCCAAAAACACCTTTATAACAGAGGAAGGTGCTTTAACACAGTCCCGTCCACAAGATCTTACTCCCAAATTTTCAATATAAAAACCCCATATGTAGTTTTACTTAATCTGTTATATTACTGCATTCCTACAGGATTAGGCTTGATTAAGTTGTTTGATAAATAGAGGAAACTGCTTGGGGCTCTAAAGATTCCCTGCAGGAGTCACATACTTTCTCTAGTGAAGCCTAAAATTGCAGCAATTGCTCCCTTTAAACTATTTATCTAAAAATGATGCATTTTAAATGTTTAAAAGTGCTTTAGCAAATATGACCAACAGATGTTTACTCCAGCACGGAAACTGCTTTTGAATGCTGTTTGTGTCATGTTTTTCCAAAATGGAACTTATGTATGACCTACAAGTCCTTTGGAAAAAAAAAAAAAAAAAGAAAAAAAAAAATCACACCTCTTGGATTTTCATACATGGGCCATTAGGAGTGTGTAGATTGAAAAGGCTGTTTAATCTGACCACACTAAGTATCACAGAAGAACAGCTGCCATCCAGACTGATGTTAGATGAGATGACACAGATACAAGAAACCTATCTACAGATGGTTTTATGCTTAATATTACTATCTGTGTTTTAAGGCAGTCTGCAGATGGATTGTTTAAATGCTCATTTTACATTTGCAGGCCATCATGCCACGTCAGAGCAATGAGCTAAAGCAGAATGAAGTACCCGAGTCCTCCCTGTTGTTCTTCCCCAGAAACATGTTTAAAATGTCCCTGCTGCTGGAAGTATAGATTGCTCCTCAAAATTGTTCTAGAGGCAGGATTTTATAGCTCGAATGATACAGGCCTGAAAGCCTAGAAAAATGTAAACATAGCATATGGCATACCCCCTGAAGGCTTAAACACTTAAAATCTGATAGCATGCATGTTTTACCTGTGACTGCCAGTCAAGTAGCCTAGCAAGCCTCCTGCTCCTAATCCAGTCCAAAATCCTGGTCCTGAATTGGTTCCATGACTGGAATGAGTCCCAAATCTGTTGCCTTCTTAAACAAAATGAAAATGGAAAACAAATCAGTCAGTTGCACCTAATTCTCAGGCCAGCTGTTGTAACAAGACTCTCCTCTGTTAAAGATAATGGAAAATTAGACATTAAACTCCTCCTGATTTCAGCAGATTCTTGAGCAAGCTTAATTTGAAAGGCCTCACAGTTTGGATAGCAGGAAAACACATAGAAACAAAAACTAAAAAAAAGTTTTACATTAAAATTAGCTTACACAATCTCACAGCCCTGAAGTTTGCACGACATGCCAGAGTCCCTGCCTGCAGATTTATAAACAGACAAGTTAGATTAAAAATAGAAAAGGAAATGAAGAAAGAATAATCTGCTCAAGGTCACACAGCAGGCCAGAAGCAGACACAGGAACAGAAATCAAGTATGGAAGACCAAACAGTGAACTAACCACTAAAACCCACAGCTCCTAATCTCACTCAGAACAGCTGCACATTTTGAGTAACTGTGGCTCAGTCTAAGGGCTAACATGACTTTGTATTGTTTCTGGTAATCCCGGTCTGGTATTTGTTATCAGAAGACATGCTAACTGCAATCACATTGCAAAGTTTTTATTATGCATGAGTCACCAAGCTTGACAAATACCTTGATGAAACTGCAAGCATATCAAGTGGGGGGGGGGGGGCTGGTCACGAATTTTTTACGTGACCTGCACAACATAAGGTTCTGCCTCAGAACCAAGTATTTTCCATTTAGAAATAAAAAGAGAAAATGCAAAACCAAAGCAGAATAATTTTTCTGTCTAGCGAAAAACAGATGCAAGAATAAGCTAAACCAGTTTATATATCTATATATCTGGAAGTGTAAAAGGTGAAGACTAAAAATAACATTAGGGTCTCCCTGAAATATGCGCACCTGAACAAGTGGACTAGGGAATTTTATGTAAAAGTTATACAGGGCCTGGTTTGTCTTCAAACTGGTGTGGATTATTTGAACCCATGGAAGATTAAAAAAATAATTTAAATAATCAGTTTAAGTCTACATTGGATTTGGTGTTGGACTTCATTTTGAATGCGTTGGGATAAAAATAAGCTCTCATTGGGATGATATACCCATTAAACTATGCTGATTTGGAACAAAAGATAGTACTTAATTTACTGTAAAAATTATGTTAGTCAGGGAGATGAACCAACTCATTTGTTCAAAAGCACCATGGCCGAACAGTGACTCAGAAAACAGAGCCATTTTTTGTTCAAATACCCAGAGTAAACATTAAGGATCATGTCAAAGCACTAACAGAAAAAGTAGAATTTAATGAAGATAGGCTAGCCAAACAAGTTTCACAGGACACATTCTGCATGGATTTTAAATGAGGCAAATTAAATATTAACAGCAATAAGTTAACAGCACTGCTTTTCATTACTGTCCAGGTTTTCAAAGACTAATAGATTCCTGGAACACACGGACATACACAGAGATGTGCTTTTTGTGCCGCTGACAAAATTTAAGGCAGACACTAAATGCATGAAGTAGCAAAACACTTAATATTTTTAAGCTGGCCTCACATTCAAGCAGTATTCCTCCTTATATCTAGGAAGAAATCATTGATACTTGTCATTAAAAATGCCATAAATTAAGCCTTATATGGCTCCAAATGTGCACTTTAAGTGTCTCAATTTTTAGTAATCATCAAGAACGCACATTTTCAAGGCCTACCCTTGCTGGATTTCAGACCCCCGCAATGAAAAATGCATTGGTGCAATTAACTGACAAGGAACAGGACAGAAAAAAAAAGAAAGTAACTCTTTGCTCTTTTACCTGTGCCCACTATGACAGAGCCAGATCTTAGCAGCAGGGTTGTTAGTAACTACCACAACAACGCCAGTGCCAAGTGGCACGCCCACACCAGGTCACAGATGCACATGCATAGACAGACTGTCTGAAGTCTGAAATAACTACATGGAAACCGATTTGCAAAGCCACTAGTCATACAGAAGCAGAATCTCTTTAATTACCTGCTGCAGGTACATCTGGAAGTTTCTGCTTTGCATGCCCTGCACTAGGGTACCCAAAAGAGTTACACTGGCACCCTCTGTTGGCCAAGCGGCTTGAGCAAACCTGGCAGAAAGCACTAACAAGCATTACTAAAGGATAAGCTTTTGACTAAGTAAACTTAAACTTAATCCTTGCTGTTTATTTACTTGATAGAACCTCTTCTCTATCTCACAAAAAAAAAAAAGATGGAGATTACAGAACTTGTCAGAATACAATTTGAGTTCCAGTGCTGTGAGCACCTCATATGTCAACATGGTTAAATGAGTTGGTCAGACACCAGGTGAATGTTTATTTCCCTTAGAGACCTCGACCATCTAAGGCAGAGCATTCATTAAGTGAGAGAAGCCACCAGTTTTCTGTGAAAAGAAAAAGCACACTTTTTCTGAGCAGCAGCCTTGCCACTGCTTACACCATTCCCAACCTCAGATGAAAGGCGGCACATGAGATCGAGGTGCTGCACCCCTAAGGATAGTTCACTAACACTGCTGTGGGAACCAAATCTTTCAACTGCTGGGACTACACTGAAGGACCTGTTAAACAGAGGACTGGTACGTGACACTCAACTCCACCACCGTGCTGTGAATGAAGCCAGGGGTCAGGTAGCCCAACAGCTGAAAGACCCTTCTGTAAAGTTTCAAAGCGCTTCTTTGGCATAAGTTTGTTTCTGCCTGTGTGAGACTATTCTCTCTGCCAGCCTGCCTATGAAAATCATTCTTCTCTGTCACAATCCCCCTATTTCACAGAGTACAAAAAGAATGCTTGCAGAGCATGGGGAGATGGATTTTCAAAGGTTGAAAGGGCAGCTTGCTGCACAGCCCGCACCGAAAGCCTGTGGGAAACCAAGTTCTTAGGTTCACTTTTGAACAAAGAACCGAATGCAAAGCTGGCTGCAGGCTCTGCAGCAATTCACCACAGTCAACTGCCAATGCCTTGGTTTTCAGCCTATCCCACCTGCGCTTACTGCAGATAAACCAGTACAATCCTGCTTGCTCTTTTGAGTACTATAAATGGCTTAGAGCCCTACCTGTGAAGCTGGACTTAAAACCAGGAGGAGGAGGTGCCTGCTGACTCTGCCAGGAAGGCCTTCTGAACCCATCGCTGTCACCAAAACTCTGCTGAGGCTGCTGGTTGCTGAGGAAGAGCTTGTATACTCCAAAAGCAAGAGCCAGAAGAACAATTATAACAATTGCTCCAGCACCAGAATCAGAAGAATCCTTCCTTGGCTGATAGTAGCTAGAGCCAAAGCTCCCAGAGTTCTTCACTTTCCTTTCACCCTCCTCAGTCAGCTCTAGCCTGAACAGCAAACTACAGGAGCCTCTTAAGATGTAAGGATCATCCGGATAATCGTAGCCTTCGCAGCTCACTTCAATTTGCCCAAAACGGTAGGCGTTTTCCAAGTCTGCTTTGCACTGCCACTGAAAAAATAAACACAATACGAAGTAAAGCCTCCTGCTCCAGAGATGAGCACACCTCTCTGTTTCCCCAAATATGCTCCGAAGTAAAGCTGTAATTGCTAACAAGCCATCTAGGGGGTCACAGGGTATGAAATTTCTGAGCACTCTTATTTTGAAAAGGAATAGGAACTTGAAGTTAACTAAAAATGTTTTTTAAAATCCTAATAATTAAAAAAAATCCCACCTTTCAGAACACGGAAGAGCTACAACTCTGGAAGATCATCTCTTCACTGAGCCAGTTTTTCAAGTATCTCTTCTTTAGATATAAGAACACTTCTAAAAATAATCTGTATCCTGTGCAACAGTTACTTAATAAATGCCTGCCCCATGTAAACCAGACAGCAGCTACAAAGACATAATATGGAAGCCTGAAATCCAGTGCATCTGATTCCACTTGTGTCCACAGAGAAATAAAAAGAAATTGGGACAGACATCATTAGGCATTGACACAAACACAACACCTGATTGCAATTCTGCAGTTGAACATATGCAGATTCCTGTCTCACATTTCTTTGAGTTACCTGAACTTAGGTATCACCCCTAACTACAAGCGACACGTGTTTTGGGAGAAAAAAAAAACCCCACGTAGTTTCTAAATTAATTCAGGACAGCAGCACTAACTGCCAATTCAAACTTGACCATATGTTAACAATACCATATCAGTTTTAACAGTTATCTTCATCCTTGATTTCTGGTTAATCTATTGGCAGAAGCCTAGGTAATAGCTAACAAAACAGTAACATACGACTATTTACTTACTAGTACTGACATACTAACATGCAAGAAGTTGTCACATTAAGTGTGACATTAATTTTTTAAAAGGTAGGGCTGAAGTGATGCAAATAATTATAGCTCTTTCTACTCTAATAAAAATTGGAAATCCACACAGCAATACCAAAGCAAGAGCATCCTCTGGGATTCACACGACTGACTTTATAAAGCCGTGCAACATTTTAACCAAAACCAATGAAGTTTTGCTGCTATACAGTGTTTTTACATTAAGAGTCTTCAGGGATACGTCAAAGATAAACCTAGAGCAGCTCTGGAAAATCCAAACCCAAAAAGTATCTATGTTAAGTTTTAGTTGGCAAAGGTCCTCTAACAATGTCCTAGTTTCAGCTGGAATAAAGTTAATTTTCTTCCCAGTGGCTGGCATAATGCTGTGTTCTGGCTTTAGGATGACAATAACGTTGATAACACACCGATATTTTAGTTGTTGCTAAGCCATGATTATACTAAGGACGTCTTAGCTTGTCATACTGCAGGGCAGGGAGTGCACATGAAGCTGGGAGGGGACACAGCCAGAACAAACGAGCCAAAGGGGTATTCTATACCATACGACGTCACGCCCATTACATAAACTGGGCGGAGTTGGCCAGGGGACGCTGCAGCTCGGGGATTGGCTGGGCATCGGTAACTGGGTGGTGGGTAATTGTACCGTGCATCACTTCTGTATACTGTATGTTCTTTTATTACGATTATTATTTTCCCTTCCTCTTCTGTCCTATTTAACTGTCTTTATCTCAACCCACGAGTTTTACTCCCCCCCGCCTCCCCAGTTCTCTCCCCCGTCCCACTGGGGGAAGGGTGAGTAAGAAGCTGGGTGGAGCTTAATCGCCGGCTGGGGTTAAACCACAAGCAAAAAGCGAACTGACATCCTAATCCATTACTCCTTTCTCCTTCAGAAGCTACCCAGTTTGAGAGAAAATTATATCATTAAACGTTTAACAAGTTTTAAACAGTTACCTGTACATCATAGCCATCCCAACCTTTGTTGTAACACTGAACCACCTCAGGGACACGGGAACACCCCGCAGCGCCTCCTGTGCACTGTAACTGAGGGACCGCCGCTGTCCGCCGGGATGTCGTGTATCGACCTCTGTGGAGAGTGAGTGCCTGCACCTCCCTCAGCAGAACCCTCCCTGAAACAGGTAGTGCGAAGGTCAGCGTTTGTCCGGGCGCGCTCCCCTTACCCACAAGGGCCTCCTTTCAGGAAACGGCTGGCAACACAAAGGACGCCATAGCGTGCTTCTTCGAGAGCCGAAGCGCTAAGAAGCGTCAAGAAGCGCCAGGCACGCAGAGGGGAATACAGCGGGGTTCCTGTTTCCTCCGGCGGGGGCTCTGGGTCATCCCC